TTTGCGAATTTATTTCCACACTAGCAATTATTCACCCCTCAACTGCCTCCTATGGGAAGTCAATAATTCTGTTAAACTTTAAGGTGAAAAATATTCTTTTACAATGTTACTCTTCGCTACTTATAACTGAAATAAAAAAGTGTTATGTTAAGTTTTTCGGCAGAGATCTTGTTCTTTAAATTTTAGGGTGCTTACACTTCATCCATAATCCAATGAGACCTAATGTTATTTCTGTAGATCGGTTTTATAGAATAACAACAGTCATATACTTTTTAATTATAAAATGACTGCTCTGTATTATCCAGTAAAAGAATTACCACTAGATGAATCGATGGTACCGTGGAAAGTTAGACTTAGTTTTAAACAATATATTAAATAAAAAACACATAAAAGACGGTATGAAGGTTAGAATTAATTCGTAAATTAATTCATAAAAAAAGTAAAGAAAGACGGAATATCGTACGCGAACATTTACCTATAAATAATTGATATAGAATTATTAATATAAAAAATTAATAATAAAAAGATGCAGAGTAAGTACTATCCTAAACATTAGAAAAAACCCAATTTATGAGTATGTGAACTGTCCCGAGAAACCAGATCTCTCCTTGGTCGATTCTTCTAAACATTTCCATAAACAAAATAAACAGGTTAATATTTTTTGAAATACCCTTTAATTTCTAGTTATATTCAACTGACAATGAATGAAAATTCGACAAAGAATTAAAAAAATACAAATATCTTTAAATTTTTAAAATGCTGCTAATTTAAATTTAATTTACTACGCAAATAATCTATAACAGCTGTTCTGACCAACCGGTAATTTCCGATTTATTTGAATATACCTACTTAAAATATTTATATCCTAAAATGTTTTCCAAGATAAATTCTTTGTGCTATAGGTACACATAATCTTAAAAATATGTTTTGACCAATCGTTAATACTCTTCTTATTTGAATAATATTAAATACCTAAATTATTTTTCAAATTTTCATGTACCTACTGAATACAAATCTTTTAATCTCTTAACAATAGATACGCACGGTCCCGACCCTTCTTTTCAATTAGTTAAATAATATAATAGACGTAATAAAATTATTTCAATTTGTGTGTTATGTTATTTTGAATGTTTATTACCTGGTAATACCTGGAATGTTAGTTTGAATTACCTGGTAATTTATTCTGTGAAATATAAAAATTCCATTGTATTGACTAAAACTCAACTCGATTTCAGTTATTTTATATTCATAAAGGGTTCAAATTTATAGTTTTTTGGAATAAAGTATTTTCAATATTTAAACACTAAAAAAATAAAAAATTGTTAGCATAGAATAAGATTTGAAAATGTTTTTCAATTAGAGTAGTTGAGAAAAACATGACTAGGTTGGTAAAAATATAGTAAAAATCTAGGAGAGCACTCTTGTGTTTCCAAAAAAAGTTTTTTTATTCACCTAGCCTCAATGTGTAGCTTTTTGAATGTTTCCCGTTAACTGAGGCTCAGGGGGTCAAAAATTATAAGGGTGGATCAAATTCAGTAAAAACCTGGCAAGCAATTTATAAAATCAGTTAAAAGTAGAATACAGTTAAATTATAGAAATAGATTTTTTATCACCTTAAATTTTAACCTAGCAGAATTATTGATTCCGGATTGGGAGGGTAGTTAAAGGGTAAAAAATTACTAGGATGCTAATATATTAGTACAAATCTAGCACAATACTATCGTATCTCATATTTACGAAAAAATTTGCTTTGTATTTAACTAGCGTAAATGTTTAGATGGTAGAATTGTAGACAAAAATCTATTTGCCACAGAAAAGAGTAAAATTATAAAACAATACTTTTTCAATAGCAGAATTATTAACTTCCAACAAGGGTTAGACGAGGGATAAAAAATTACTAAGTTGGTATAGAATACTATAATATTTCAAAAATACGTTTTTTTCTAATTTCGCTGGTTCGAATATTGAGCTAGCAGACAAGTTTCCGAATAGGTTTATGGGAGCAAAATTATCAGGATGGTCAAAGTTTAGTAAAATCTTAACTAAACACCTTTTTATTTCAGTTATAAGTAGAGGAGAGTAAATTTGAAAAAAAATTCTCCTTTAATTTTAATCTATCACAATTATTGACTTTTCACAAGGGGTAGTTAAGGGGTGAAAAATTGCTAGGGTGGTAATAAATTCGTAAAAACCTATCAAAACACTATGGTATGTCGTACATATTTATTTTAATTCTGCTAGTTGGAACCGTAAGCCAGCAAAATCGCTCCCCTTAAGGGTGGTTTGATGGTGAAAAATATTATGATGGTAATAAATTAGTGAAAAATGGGTGAAAAAACATGCCATCAACAAACAGTTTTTTTTTTAATTCTGCTAGCTTGAACCTTAAGCCAGCAGAATCGCTCCCCTTAACGTTGGTTTGGTGGTGAAAAATTATTAGGGTGGTAATAAATTAGTGCAAAATGGGTGAAAAAATATGCCATCAACAAAAAGTTTTTTTTTTAATTCTGCTAGCTTGAACCTTAAGCCAGCAGAATCGCTCCCCTTAAGGTTGGTTTGGTGGTGAAAAAATATTAAGGTGGTAATAAATTAGTGAAAAATGGGTGAAAAAACATGCCATCAACAAAAAGTTTTTTTTTTTGAATTCTGCTAGCTTGAACCTTAAGCCAGCAGAATCGCTCCCCTTAACGTTGGTTTGGTGGTGAAAAATTATTAGGGTGGTAATAAATTAGTGAAAAATGGGTGAAAAAATATGCCATCAAGAAAAAGTTTTTTTTTTGAATTCTGCTAGCTTGAACCTTAAGCCAGCAGAATCGCTCCCATTAAGGGTGGTTTGGTGGTGAAAAATTATTAGAGTGGTAATAAATTAGTGAAAAATGGGTGAAAAAATATGCCATCAACAAAAAGTTTTTTTTTTGAATTCTGCTAGCTTGAACCTTAAGCCAGCAGAATCACTCCCCTTAAGGTTGGTTTGGTGGTGAAAAATTATTAGGGTGGTAATAAATTAGTGAAAAATGGGTGAAAAAATATTACGTAGGTTAAATTGGATTCCGCTCATGTGTCCTCGCTAGCTTAAGGGTCCTAATTTACCTACAGATGTTAACAGTTTATCTTTTCATACCAAAATGATGCTACTTTACAAAAGTTACTATTAGGTTTACAAACTGGTGAGGTTGTTGAAAAACAATTCAGATTTAACGTAGATCAATCAGAGTTTTCACTACAGTCTGGAGTCATAATGAGAGGACAACGAGTTTTAATACCTATGAAATTAAGAAATAAAAATTCTGCATGAATTACACACTGCGCATTTTGGTATGGTGAGAATGAAGTCTTTAGCCCGGAGTTACTGCTGGTGACCTTTCATAGACAAGGATATTGAATCTTTATGTAAAAATTGTTTTCATTGTAACAAGCACAAAAACAATCCTGTTAAGGACAATTCCCACATCTGGGAAACACCTAAATTTTGCTTTGAAAGAGTACATGCTGACTATGCTGGACCTTTTAAACGGAGGCTATTACTTCATTTTAGTCGATTCTTTTAGTAAGTGGCCTGAAATACATTTCACGAAAGACACTACTACAAAAACTACAATCGAAATTTGTAGAAAAATCTTCACTACTTTCGGAATACCCACAGTATTTGTTACTGATAATGGTAGACAATTTAATTTTCATGAATTTAGAGAATTTATGAAGAATAATGGTATCACACATAAATTTACTGCACCCTATCACCCAGCCACGAATGGCCAGGGGGAGAGATATGTCCAAACACTAAAAAATTGTCTGCGAGCCATGCACAGTGAAGAGAAAGACAGAGAACTTGAATTGTGCAAGTTACTAATGCAGTATCGTAGAACACCTCACACAGTAACTGGCAAAAGCCCGTCTGAACGTATGCTAGGAAGGCAGATTAGAAATAGATAAGATTTACTTAAACCTTTTACTCATGACAAAAATGCTTACACAGACCAGAGTCTTAGAAATGTTGCTATAGATACCAGAGTCTCAGTGCGAGATTACTTTAATGCCAAATGGCAATTTGGCAAGGTTATACTAAGGTTAGGATTATTACATTATTTAGTTGAGTTAGATGATGGTAGGACGTGGAGACGTCATATTGACCAAATTAGAGTAATTGGGCAGGATACACCTATAGAATATAACCCAACTTGTTTCATTCCTGATACAGTTACACATAGTATAGTTCCAAGGGAGGTATCTGTCCCTGAACCCAATTCCGTTTCACCACCTACAAATGTACAAGAACTTCTAAATGATACAATAGAGCCAACAGTACCTGAGGCTCACACTGAAGCTGAACCAGTGTTAAGACGTTCAAGTAGAGTATGTAAACCTGTTCATAGGATGGATTTGTAAGTACATCTTTATTTAAATCTGTATTTATGAATTTTGGTCAAGAGAGGAGGTGTTATATACTTGGCAACACAGGTAGGCAACACCGCTCACTGACACAAGGGAATGAAGTTAGTTAGTTATGAGGCAATAAAGGTTAATGATGTAAAACCACGTTGTATTATTAATTATTACCTTATTTAAGTAAGAAATACCAAATACACAACAATATATATATATATATATATATATATAATATATATATATATATATATATATTATATATATATTATATATATTATATATATATATATATATATATGTATATAATAATACAAGATTTTTCATTATGTTATAATTAATTTGTACTTTTACTTTTATCGGAGTGGATTTGCAAATAAGACTAAGAAACTTGTGGACTAAGACACAAAATAGCGTTGTTCTAATAAATGCATATGGCTAAAGTAATACGGCGCGCTTTTAACCAATCCGATAGACGCGCGTTTTAAAAAGTAAATAAAATAAAACAAAATTTAATTTGACATTATCACTGTCTGCTGATAAGCTATGGCATATAACTGCTCTTAGCAAGCTTTATAAAATAATCAATATTCATACATATATAAAAATATACTTACAAACTGCTTATTCACAAGCTGGATCGAGACTAACTAAAAACCCATCAATCTTCACCTAATCCATTCATTTCTTGTATGTATAGGAACGCGTGTAGCAAAGTTATTTAACGACGGGTCCATAATACAAACAAGAGTTACACGATACAAACATTTGTCTTCAAGGACACGGAGAGTTGATGTATCAAAAATAATATCACCGATTTTATTTTGATAATATTATAAAGTAAATGTACTTCTTGTGGGTAAGATACTATTATTCTTTTTTAATTTAACTGAGATTAATTACACTGATCGACACAGAGAACGGCCATCACTTTCTTTTATAAAAATTATCTATTATTTTTTTGTTATAATTTTAGTTAATGGTTTGCACGCCTTGGTAAAGGATTTTAAAGTATGCTTATTGGAGAAAATCTATACGTAAACATTAACACAAACAAAAAAAAATTATCATCTGATGGTATATCATCAGAAACAAAAAAATATAACTGATCTAAGTAATATCTCATTACTTTTCTACGAACCTTTATCACAATATTCATTCGTCTAGTTATACTGTCAATTATGTTTGAAATTTTATTTTGTAGAATTATCTATAAATGGAGCAGATTTCCGTACTCCAATACTTGTACTGAGGTTGTTCCAATGTGTTGTATGAAATTTAAGCCAGGATTAGTTCTAGACAGTAAAGAGCGACAAGAGGACGTGCAGCAGTATAGAATGGCTCGAATAAATTTTATATATTATTATGTGACTAATTAATGTATTCATTTACTGCGTACACAGAAGTTCCTATTAGAACTAGTTTAAAAATCTGTACTTAGAGAAAAGTACCTATATCCGGAGAAAACACGATAAAATAAAATATTTTCTTGGATTTTTATAAACATAAAAAATTAACAAAGTAATTAAAGAAAACTGTCAAAAAAACTGGTTAAGATAAAAAAGAAACAAAAAACAGACCATTTAGATACCACTACAAAGTACTTATAGTCCATTTTCATCACATTGATAGCACATTATGTATGCAAATCCTTAAACTGTTGATACGGGCGACTCAATGAAAAATAGATATTTGTCAACAAGTTTACAGAAGTATATAGGAAAACAATTTTAAATTGAGTATGACCACCAGGTATAAAGGTTGAAGCAGAATAGAATACAATAATTTTGAGGGTTACTTATCCCTAAATAAAGTTGCCAGTGTCGAAGCGATGGACATTAACAGGTACTAATGAATTTTCAAGAAATATAAAATGTTTATTTTATTGGTTATATATAAAATAAATTGTAGCCTTAACAGGGGCCGATTTCTAAAAAAATGAATATTATTTTAATCAAATTCCAATTCAGATTCACTGCTTTCTTCAAAATCTAAGGAATATTCAACTCCAGTGTTAATTATTACCGGTTCCAGCATTGCATCAGTCATATTATCCAAATTCCACATTTTATTTTCTTCCTTGTGAGCATGACTAACAGCATTTTTCCAATTTTCTGGAGTTACTTTTATAAGGAATGTTAGAATAATTGTAGTGTCTTCTAATTAAAAGTTTTGTTGTTGCTTCCGACTTCACCCTTTACTTGAGACCATATATTTTCTATCGGATTGAGATCACAGTGGTATGGGGGTAAACCTAAAATAATTACATTACGGTTTAGTGCCATTTCATCAATTATATATTTTTTATAAGCTGCTTTATGTTGCCTTAAAATAGGTATTAATTCCTTTTTTGTCGAATTCTTCTTGTATTCAATTGCATGTATATCCAACCATTCAATTATCTTTCCTTTTTTTCATACCGTTGTTGGCAATTTTTCTACTAGTCTTGAATGGCAACTAGCATTATCCATGATTATGACAGAATTTTTTGGAATTAAATCCAACATTTGCTTAAAATATTCTTCAAAAACGTCAGCAGTCATTTCCTCGTGGTAATCTTTGGTTGATTTTGAGGCAAAACTTAATAATCCACCATTGACAAAACCGTATTCGTTTCCCATATGGGTTATTATGATTCTGCGTCCTTTTCCAACGGGAATACTGTTTATTGCAGTAGATACACCTTCGATGAATGCCTGACGGGAACTTTTCACATTTGTATCAACCCATAGATATGGTACAGTATGACCTTCATTTAGCCAAGTCTTGTCCAAATAAAAAATTGTTTTCCCTTCTTCTCGGTACTTTTTAATAGTTCTTAGATAATCTCGTCTCCAACATACAATGTAATTTTTTTAAATTAAAACGGATTTTCTTCTATTCTTTTGCCAACGAAATCCCATCTCTCTCAATTGTCCCCATAATTTCTTGTTGCTTATGATTGGTAATTCTTCGTTTTCTCTAATTAATGTTTGGATTTTGTCCAATGTTGGAAATTCTTTGTTAAAAAAAATGAGTGGACGCTGCGTCTTATCATGTTTTTATGTATTTCTTCAATTTCCAAGGGTTTACTCCCTACTCTTCTTTAGAGATGAAACAGTTTCTCCTTTTCTTTCTTTTAGGAATCTATAAATTGTTGCTTCTCCAACATTACTTAAAGGGCGTTGATGTATAAATGCATCGTGTACATTTATTTTAATAGTTTTCTCTCTTAGACTGAAGGCACCTTTAAAACTACACTTAACCGGGATAAAACCTGTTGTCGACGTCATTTTTAAATGCAAATAACAGAATATTGACAACAAAAACGTAGGTAGGTAAGACATGAATAATGTACATCTACAAACTAAATTGAAGATGCAAACAATTTCTAATTTATATTATTGGCATAAGCTGTAATGTGGCATAAAAACTACTTAAACTCTCATTAGTGAAGCCTTATCAGTATTGTATAATATTGTATGTATTATATATGTCAAAAAAAGAAATCTGTTTGTGTCAGGCGATGACTTGTACAGAAAACAATAGTCACCTTTAAATTACTGTTTACATTAATTTATTTCGTGAAACATTGAATTCTCTCGTTAATCACCCGTGTATAATTAACAATAATCGTGTGGCATATATACCGACGTTTTTTACGCACAAAAAGGTATAGTGAGATTAGTGGACACTTATTTTACAGAAGATTTTTTAAAAGATAATGAACTGTTGACGGCATCTTAAAATATTAATTTTTTTTTTATTTATTTTAAAACAACTATTGAGTGACGCCTATGGTTTTTTGACCTGTTGAGGATTTGCATACATAATGTGCTATCAATATAATGGAAAAGGACTATACCATAAAAAATTAATCAAAAAAGTATTACTAAACATGTGAAACATATTTCAACATATGAAAATTAAAATTTAAAATATTAAAATGAAACAAAAATTAACAAAATAGCAAGATTTGAAATAAAATAAACAGGTAGGTAGCCAATTGTTAGGCCTCGTCTAGCTCAGTATCTCAGGTATTCTTCTTGTAGTTCCTTTTCTTATTGAAGGTTGGCTATCAACACAGCTATCCTTACCTTATTGGTGGCTGTTCTGAAAAGATCTACTGAGCTGCAACTATACCACTCTCTTAGGTTTCTCAGCCAAGAAATTCTTCATCTTCCTATGGATTTTTTACCCTTGAGTTTACCTTGCATTATGAGCCCTAATGTCTCATATTTCGCACCTCTGGTAATGTGGCCTAAATATTCTTGTCTTGATGTGCTTTATGACCTCGCAATCCTTCTGTAGCATTCTTAATACTTCTGCATTTGTAACTCGTTGGGTCCATGGTATTTTTAAAATCCTTTTATAGTACCACATCTCAAATGATTCCAACTTCTTTACATTATCCACTTTTAGTGTCCAGCTTTCCATTCCATACAACAAAGTCGAGAATATGTAGCATCTTAAGGCTCTTATCCTCAAATCCAGAGAAAGGTCTCGATTGACAAACATTGTTTTCATTTTTATAAATGCTTGTCTTGCAATTTCAATGCGTGTCCTTATTTCTCTACCTTGGTCATTGTTTTCATTAACCCATGTTCCCAGATATTTGTAGTTATTTACTCTTCCTACTTGTTTTCCCTCAATATCTAGCCTTAGTATTGTATGTTGCTTAGAAATATATATTATTCTTCTTCTGCTTCCAATAACAATGGGGACAACACGCAACCCTGTCTAATACCTCTTTTGATTTTTATAGTTTCTGTATCGTCATTTTCGATTTTAACCTTTACTTTTTGATTCCAGCACAGATTGATAATAACCCGTATATCACTATTCATATTCTTTTTTTTTTACAGTTTTACGAGTTTCTTATGTTGTACTCTATCAAGAGTCTTTTGATAATCTATAAAACAGACATAGAGATCCTGGTTCATATCTAGTAATCTTTGCGCGGGAACGTTAAAAGCGTACAGAGCCTCTCTCGTTCCTAGTCCTCCTCTGAATCCGAACTGGGTGTCATCTATATCTTCTTCTATTTTTCCAAGTAGTCATCTTTAGTCTTCCAAGTATTATTTTGAGAAATATTTTAAGTGTGTGGCTTATTGGGAAATTTTTCTGTACTGGGAGATTTCTGTCGCATGTACTGCCTCTGGTAGTGTTACAAACATGGACAACAACCAATCATTGGGTATTTCAACCAATCTACCAATATACTAATCTTAAGTGTTTCTTCGTCAATCCATTACTTAGCTCAGGGTATCTGATCTGAGCCTACTGATTTTGCGGCGTTTGCATTTCTAATTGCCTGTTTTAATTTGCACAATATTATTTTCGGTTAGTTTTGTTATGTGTTCTTGCCAAAATCTTAGTTTATCTTTGATGTTATCAATTCTTATCCCCTCGTTACTTTCCCATAAGGCTTTTCTGAATATAACCTGTGAGTACACGTTGAAAAGCGTCGGATACAAGACGCATCCCTGCCTGACCCCTCTCGCAATTGGTATATTATTTGTTTCTATATCGTTCACCTTTACAATTTCTATATCATTTACCTTTACAATTGCTTTCTAGTTTCAGTATATAGCCTTAATAAACTCAATGTATTTTTTGTCTAAATTGATGTTTTTTAGTTCATCTATTAACTTCATATGTTGCACTCG